TCCTGGCTGCGCTCAGGGATCGCACCTAGCGGTGCAAGGCAAGTGCCTTACCAATTGTACAGTCACTCAGACCCCTAAAGGAACATTTTTTTAAATTTTAGTTTCGATCATTTTATTTATTTAAAAAAATTTTTAATTAAACACCATGAGATACAATTACACTTTTGTGATTCTGGTTTTTTTTTTTTCCTTCTTGGGTCACACCTGGCGATGCACAGGGGTTACTCCTGGCTCTGCACCCAGGCACTACTCCTGGCGGTGCTCAGGGGACCATATGGGATGCTGGGAATTGAACCTGCATCGGCTGAGCACAAGGCAAACGCCCTACCCGCTGTACTATCACTCCAGCCCCTGAGATTACAGTTTTGTTTTGTTTTGTTTTTTGCTTTTTGGGTCATACCCGGCATTGCACAGGGGTTACTCCTGGCTCTGCACTCAGGAATTACCCCTGGCAGTGCTCAGGGGGCCATATGGGATGCTGGGAATCGAACCCGGGTCGACCACGTGTAAGGCAAAGGCCCTACCCACTGTGCTATTGCTCCAGCCCCTGTGATTACGTATTTTTATGCATCAGGTTTGCCTAGGTTTTCCTTAGCCCTTCACCCTTTACTAACCAAGCAAACCTGGCCCCAGATACTTCTTGTCTGGTAGTTTTTATTGTGCCTGAATCTGTGATGAGGCAAATTCTCCAACTCTCTGCTGCACTTTCTGTCCTCTCATGCCCCAGTACCTGGGCTGGGCCAGCTTCCACTCCCAGTTGACTTTTACTTCCTTTGGCTCCTGCAGGCTGACTTTGTTCCAAGTGTTTAAGAGCCTTGCATTGCCTAAGTTGCTGAGTGACAATCCTGCTGCCTCAAAGGGAGACTTATGCATGGGGGTAGGTGGCGTGGGAGCACAGGATGGGGCCTGCAAGGGGTACTATTGGTCCAATATAAGAATCATATGGGAGGGGCTGGAGTGATGGCACAGTGGGTAGGGCGTTTGCCTTGCACGTGGACGATCCCGGGTTCGATTCCCAGCATCCCATAAGGTCCCCTGAGCGCCGCCAGGAGTAATTCCTGAGTGCAGAGGCAGGAGTAACCCCTGTGCACCGCCGGCTGTGACCCAAAAAGAAAAAAAAATCATTTGGGAGACTGAAACAGGTAAAGTACTGCAGGTAAAGTGCTTGCCTTCCAAGCAGCTGATCAGGGTTCAATCCCTGGTACCACATATGGTGCTCTGAGCCCCTCCAGGAGTGAACCCTCAGCACAGAGCCAGGAGTAAGCCCTGAGCACTGCTGGCTGTGTTCCCCCTTTCCCTGAATCACTTTGGAGCCAAGGAGAAATATCTCAACAGGGTGAGCACAGACTTTGCATATAGAAGACCCCTGCTGTTTCCCCAAGACCCTGAATACTGCTGGGTCCCTACAAAACAAACAAGATCACTTAATATTTATAACCTAAGGATCGAAGAGCTCTATAGTGGGTAAGGCACTTGCCTTACATGTGACTGACCCAGGTTCAATCCCCAGCATCACATTTGTTCCTCTGGGCACCTCCGAGAGTGATCCCTGCACAGAGCCAGGAGTAAGCCCTGAACACACGCATGGCCCATCCCCCCAAATAAATACTTATAACAAGATAGGTAAGTTTTGGGGTTGGAGAGATAGTACAGCAGGTAGGGCATTTGCTTCACAGACAGCTGACCTAGGTTCGATCCCTGGCACCCCACATGGTTCCCTGATTCCTGCCAGAATAGACCCAGAGGTAAGCCCTGAGCACCAGCAAGTGTGCCGTCTCCTCTTCCCCCAGATAAGGCATGTTTTTCTGCAAGAACTGAATAAGTCTTCCTAAATAAACTTGAAGATGATGTAAAATGTATGGAACTATTCAAACTCATCAGAATAGCACTAATTTTACACTTAGGACTACATATCTTTATGTCTTTTTTTTATAAATAGCAACACTAACTGTGATGTTCTTTGAAAAAAAAAATACTGAGCATTACCAGAATGGAAGCAAGCATTCTTAAAATATACAAACTCAGAATATTCTATCACTATCTTTCTTAGAAGTTACACATAAAAATTCTTCTCCTTTCTACTCTGGCGGTTGGAGCCACCTTCTTTTTCTCTTTTTTTCTTTATGTCACTAAGTTCAACAGGATGGCCCTGTGTTCACCCCATCCATTATCGCTCCTGCTATTGAAAAGGACACTATGGAAGAAATAATGCTCTTTGTAAGTAATTTCCTCTGGTCTATCACAAGGGTCCTCGCAATAAAACTTGGTGCCTAGGAGTGACTAGGGAAGACTCAGAAAGGGAAATGGATCTAGAACAAGGGAGAGAAAATGGCAAATATACTTTGGGCTTTGCAGGCAGGCCTTTGTCTTCTTTTCCTACTATTCTGATGACATAGAACGATAGCATCTTTTGGACTTTTTTTTGGGGGGGTGAGGGGTGCATACCCAGTCATGCTCAGGGCTTATTCCTGGCTCTGCACTCTTGCACTCCTAGCAAGGTTAGGGAGACTATACAGGGTTCCAGGGATCAAACCCGGTCAGCCCCCTACAAGTAAGGCACTGTATTATCTCTCTGGCCCGACAATAGCATTTTTATACTAAACAGCCAAATGAGCATGGCTTTTTTCTAACAAAACTGCTATGGCAATCGAAATACAAACTTTGCAGAATTCTAAGAGTATTTTTCTCCTGGGGATTTTCTCCCTTTCCCTTTGTCATCATCAAGATGATGTGGAAGGCAGGTGTGACACACACTTGGTGGTGCTTCTCATCAGGGGTTACATACTTTAGTGACAGTACTCACGCATAGTGGTGATACACTGGAGATCTCTTTCTCCTCTCTCTTGCTTTCGCTCTCTCTCTCTCTCTCTCTCTCTCTCTCTCTCTCTCTCTCTCTCTCTCACACACACACACACACACACACTTTGTTGTTGTGTGCTTGGGATCACGTGGCAGTGCCCCTAGACCTCACTTGGCATATGGGGCAATGCTGGGGTTTGGGATTGAATGTGTAGCCGCATGCCTGCAAGGCAGGTGTTCTACCCCTTGAACCACAAGCCCAGGCTGCTCCTGGGGATTTTCCCAGTCATTTAAGAGTATAGGGACTGGAGAGAGAGCCCCAGTGGTCAGGGGCGAATGCCTGATACGCACAGCAACACTGGCTCTCCAATACCACTGGGGGGTGCTGGCGGTCCCCAGCACTGCTGGACCTCAGCAGCACCACGTTGCCAACCTGAACATTGAGCCATCTGGCCTGGTTGGCTTAGTATTGCTGGGATGTCATCTCCTGAGTGCTGTTTGGGATCCTCCCTTCCAAATAAGAGAATGCAGAAACTTAACTGAGCTCAGACTGTCAGTGGGGCCAGGGATGTAGCTCAGTGGCACCTGACTCGCATGTATGAGGCTCTGGGTTCCATCCTCAGCAACCCTGGTCCCAAGCACCACCACAGGAATTGCTGATGGGCCAGTTTTGGTCCATGGGCGATATAATTTGCTGAGCCTTGAGCTAGAGGATTCAAATGCAATTTCTTCTTTTCTTTATTTAATTTTGTTTTATTGGTTTTTGGGTCTCACCCATCAGCACTGGGGGCTACTCCTGGATCAGTGGCTGAGGATCACTCCTGCTGGTGCTTGGGGGACCATGCAGTGCCAGGGATCAAACTTGAGGCTCTCGCATGTGAAGCAAGTCCCCAGTCCCTGTGTTTGGGGTTGGGGAGAAATGGGGCGATGGGGTTGGGCTACATGTGACTGCCTGGGTAGTTTAACCAGGTCTACAGTTGGCATAGTCATATGCAAGGCAAATACCTTACCTCCTTTGCTAGCTCTCCAGCCCTGTACTCAGTCCTCTAAGCTATGTCTCTGACCCTTTATTTATTTATTTTTTATTATTTTGGGAGTTCTTTATTGAGTTCTGGAGATCAAATCCAGAATCTCATACATTCAAGGTGTGTTCTACCATTGAGCCACATCCCTGGCCTCTCTGTTCTTTTCTTTTTTCTTTTTTTATTAGTGAGACATCATGAGGTACAGTTGAAGACTTACAAATTTTGGGTTTCAATTATACAATGTTCAAATACCCATCCCTCCACCAGTGCCTATTTCCCACCACCACGGATCCCAGTATCCCTCTCATCCTCCATCCCCCCCATTCCACCCTGCCTCTGTGGCAGGGCATTCCCTTTTGTTCTCTCTCTCCTTTTGGGTGTTGTGGTCTGCAAAAGAGGCAATGGGTGACAATCATGTTTGGTCTATAGTCTACTTTCAGCATGCTTCTCCCATCCTGGGAGGATCCTCCCAACACCCTTTATTTGGTGCCCCCTTCTCTATCTGAGCTCCCTTTTCCCCTAGCATGTGTTGGCCTCTCTGTTCTTGTGAGAACCTCTACTGTATCACTGTCATCCCCTTGCTCATCAATTTGCTCGAGCGGGCGCCAGTAACATCTCCATTCGTTCCAGCCCTGAGATTTTAGCAGCCTCTCCTTAGGCATCCTTCGCTGTTTTGGAGGCTCTTTCAAGGTCAGGGAAATGAGACCCCGTTATTGTTACTGTTTTTGGCATATCGAATATGCCACGGGGAGCTTGCCAGGCTCTGCCATGGAGAACCTCTACTAGGGAAGGAAATGAGGTGAAAAATGAATAATCAGTTTTTGTGTTTTGTTTTTGAGCCTCACCCAGAAGTGCTCAGGACTCTATATTCAGGGATTACTCCTGGCAGTGCTTGGGGGACAATTTGGGTCCTAAGGACTGAACCCAGGTCAGTCACATGCAAAATAAGTGCCCTCCCCACAGGACTGTCACTAAATCAGCAATTACTGACCACTTGCATTGAACAAGTGTTAGCCCATGCATCTCAAACATGTGGACTCATTTAATCCTTATAGCTCTGGCAGGTAGATAGTATCATTCCCATGCAACAGATGGGGAGTCTGAAGCACAGAGATGAAGTAAATTGTTGCCTATCACAGAGCTAATAAGAGGCAGAGACCAGCTGGCATAACTTACCCAGTTGGGTCCAGTACCCTCAGTCTGAGCTATTATGCCGTAGAGCCTTTCTGGGTAAAACATCTGTTTCTCTTGGCGAAGAAATCTTTTCCAAGACATCCACATGGAGGATCTCTGTCCTGCCAGCTCCGTTAAGCATGTGAACAAAAAGTTACAGAATGTTCAGAGTTATGTTTCCGTTTAGAGGCAAGGGGACAGATGGCACTGTCTCATTTAGACAGGAAGCCACTGTCCCCCAAGGTGCTGAGCAGAAGTGGAGTGACTCTTGTACTCTTGCTGTGCCTTAGATTTTGGGTTTTTTTCTTGTATATACAATAACGATAACTTAAAAAATATACAACATGTCATTGGTTTCCTCAATGTTTTTGAAATGAAAATTCTGGCTAATTAAGAAGCAAACAGCCCGAACACTTCACCAGAACCTGCCCAAGCAGACTTGCTATACTTAGAGGATTGGGGCCTCTGAGAAGCCAGAATAGCTGGTAAGAAAGTTTTAGGGGACACTTGCCTGGCATGTGGTTGTAGCCATACTGAACCCTGTAGCCATACTGAATCTCCTTTGTTTGCATCAGGGTCTGTTGAGCACCGCTGGGTGTGGTCCCTGAGCATGACTGGGTGTGCCTCTCCCCACACCCAAAGAAGAAAGACATGCTTCTGATTGGTTTGGTCAATTACTATAAGACTGTGAGAACCATGTCATTTCCTATAATTTCATCTCTACTACAAAACACACACACATCTAATTTCTAAGAAATTTACTTTGGGGGCTCTTTAATGTTCTCTCGGGGCTCAGAAGCATGGCAAATCTCACAGACACCACTGTGCACGTGTAATTTAGGGGTTACTTCCTCTTGAGTTCCCTTAATGTTTTGAGATTTTCTGGCCTGCCCAGTGGCTACCCTCATTGCCTCTAATAGCCTGAACCTGTAAGCACGGTTATCAGGCTGTTTTCAATGGTTTTATGAGATCAGCATTAATCCCAAAGCAGTATGGCCCATGACATCGCAGCCAAACCCTGATAATTAAACCATGTTCCCAAAGTATAAGAAAGATGTATTTTACCAGGTTATTGGCAGGGACAATTCAAAGGAAAACAATTCTTCCATCTCACTGGCCCATTCATAAGTTCCAGATCTTGTGTTCTTTAGCCATCTCAGTGCAGCTGTCATTTTTTTTTTTTTTGATGTGCCACCTGCCTAGTGTGTCAAACTATAGGAGCATAGAACATATCATCCTAAACCTTTCTGAGTGCTTCAGAGACTCGACACATTAGCAAGCTTCAGTCAGAGTGATAAGAAAAAAGGAAAAGGGGGTACTAGTAACATACATGTGCCCTGTTTTATAGGGGGAGAGACTCAGTAAAATTGAGTAATTCCTACATTTTTTACATGTTGAAAATGTACCAGTAAATAGATAAATATATTGTTCAATTTTATAGTATTCTTTATCATCTTTTATCAAAGCATGACAAGTGTTTTTTTCGTTGAATCTCCTTTGTTTACATCAATTGCTGCAAGCATTCTCTAAACAAAAATAACTTCCTCTCTGGTTCCTTGCCTTATGACTCTTGATGATAGAGAGGAAGAGCAAGTGAATCAATATTATATTTAGGGGGTTGATGACTATTAGTGGGTTGAATGGTGGTCACCCAGAAGATATCTGTCCGTGTTCTCATCATCAGAATCTGTGATTATTATCTTATTCGGCAGAAAATGTTATAAAGGAAGGACCCTGACAGGAGTTTACTGTGGATCATCCTGATGAGACTTAGATTCAATCAGCTTATTGTTTATAAGAGAGAGGTATGGGGAGCTTTAAGAGAAGAAAACAATGTGAGTATGTTATAAGAAATTGGAATTATGTGTTACAAGCCAAGGAATGCCTCAAGCTGACTGGATGTGAAGAGTCCAGGATTGGAGGGAGAGCAATCTTGTGGACCCCTAGATTTCAGACTTCTGGACTTCAAAACTGAGAAAATACATTTCTTTTGTTTTAGTCAGTTTCTGGCAAGTTGTGATAGCAGTCCTAGGAAAGCCATAAGTGCAATAAACAGCTAATGCTACATTTTGGAAGGTTGTAAATGTACCATGATTCTTTTGACTCAAATTGATTACCCTGAGGTTGTAGACATTTGTATCGTTATCCCTCCCTCCCTCCCTCCCTCCCTCCCTCCCTCCCTTCCTTCCTTCCTTCCTTCCTTCCTTCCTTCCTTCCTTCCTTCCTTCCTTCCAACACCCAACATCACCAAATCATTTGGATCAGAATTCAAAGAACATTTGACAGAGATGGGATGTGTTTACTCTGCTACTTCTTATCATAAATTGTAAAGCTAACCAAGGACAAACTGCCAGGTAATTTTACATCATTTCTTCAAGACTGTGGTTTACTGATGATTTCAAATGTGAAGTTAGGGAATGTACTCTACTTTGTCATACATTTGCTTAAGCATGAAGAGCTCCCTATTCAGCTCTTGCTGATATTCTGTGCCAGTATCAACAGGACCTCCATCCAGACAGCTGTCACTTAGTTTTGTATTCTCTAATCTGGTCCATGAGAATTTTCTGGACAGGATCAATTTCCTTATTAAAATGCCACTATAGTCACACTAATGTTTCTCCTCAAATGGACTGAGGCAGTAGACTGAATGAAAAAGGAGAACCCAAAGAACTTCTGAAGAATCATGATGACTCTGTCACTTGCACTCAGTCCCTACTTTTTGACACCTGTAGTACTCAGGGCCTTCTCCTGGCTTGGTACTTGGCCGTCCTTGGAGAACTGTGTGGTGCTGGGAATTGAACTGGAGACTTCTGCATGCATTCAGACCATTGAGCTAACTCTTTGGTCTCAGACTAGGAATTCTGATAGACTATCAGAGACTACTACTGAAAATTTACTAGTAGAAGATGAAATAATTGATTCCTTGCATCCCAGGAAAGAAAAACTCCTGTTTTTTAAATTTAACAATAAGGACTTACCTACATCAACATATTCAAAAGTACTGGCATGTTATTACAATTTTTGCATACATAGACAGAGTGTTGATCTCTCCCTTTATTCTACCCTATTTTGATATTACACCCTTCCCTTATATTATTCAATTGCTATCACTATCAAACTTAGTGTTGAGTGATGAAATGATAAGGGAAGTAAATTATTGTCTTCACTGTTACTATATTTTTTTGGTTGAGAGAAAATGAGAAAGCAAGAGGTCCGGAGGCAGACAAAGGTTACAATAAATGTCACTGTCACTGTCACTGTCCTCCCATTGTTCATTGATTTGCTTGAGCGGGCCCAGAATGTATAAATAATAAAACCTACTTTACCCATCCATATTTATTCTAAAATGTATTTTTATGTTCTTCATGTTGAAAATCATATAAAATATGCATTAGGGTATGTATTTGTATTCAGGACACAATAGTATTAACTCCCAACATTTGTTTATAGTTACATTTATGGCTAAGTTCTATAATATTCCATGCACTGTAGTGCTGTCTTCCCGTTGTTCATCGGTTTGCTTGAGTGGGCAACAGGAACGTCTCCATTGTGAGACTTGTTGTTACTGTTTTTGGCATATTGAATATGTCACGGGTAGCTTGTCAGGTTTTGTCATGCAGGCAGAATACTGTCGGTAGCTTCTCGGCCTCTCCAAGAGGGGCGGAGGTACCGAATTTAGGTCAGCCGTGTGTAAGGCAAATGCCCTACCCGCTATGCTATCACTCTGGCCCAATATCCCATGCAAAGTTCTTTAATTATAGAAAACATTCTATCACATTTACAGACAGGCCTGACTTGGATCTGTAGTATAGACGGCACAGATGTTAATGGGGCAGTCCCTAATATTTATTTTTCTTTTTTTTTTTATGTAGGAGTACTGCTATTTATTCAGCCACTGATTAGCTGATTGAATTGGAAATGAACTCCACCTTACTTTCTTTTTATAATTTTTTTCTTCTTATATTTATTTATTGAATCACTGTGGGAAAAGTTACTAAGCTTTCAGGTTTAAGTCTCAGTCATACAATGATCAAACACCTTTCCCTTCACCAGTAATCATTTTTCACCACCAAGAATCCCAATATACACCCCCTCCCACCCTCCCAATGCCTGTGAGGCAGACGATTTCTACTTAACTCTTCTCTACATTGATTACATTCATTATTTCGACAAAAGATGCACCATTATTATTTAGAATTCCCCCCCCATCAGAATTGCTGAAAAGGTGTTGTGAAATACTTTGTTTTCTATAGCTGGTTATGAGAATCATATAATGTCACGCGGCTGCGATTTTGGATTTCTGCAAAGAGCCAGATAATTACAAGATTGGTTTCTGTGCATCTGGTGTTATGGCTGGCCGCTGGGGAGGGGGGGCAACTCGTGACCTCGGTAGGGCGTGAAGGAGGAGCTGGTACCGCCCCCCTTCCCATGAGACTGCAGTTGCCCTGTCACCACTGGCTCGTAAGAAGCTCGCTGACTTTCCTATAAGCTCTGAGTGGCATGGATGGATCTTTTGTTTCTGCTCTTCAATGTAACCATGTCTCAGGAGCTAGTCTATAAGCCTATTATTGTCATAAGAGAGAGAACAGAGTTCATCCAGGTAATCACCAGTCCTAGGTAGAGCTGGAGCTCATTTTGACCCACGAAAAAGATTGGTTTGTTATACATCAGTGAGATTTTGCAGTTGTTTGTATTAGTTTACATTCAAGTATATTGATTTTGTAAGATTTTTGTATAGTCATCCTCTTTGTATCCATCCTTTCTATTCTTATATGTTCTTTTGTTTTTTCTTTTTGGGTCACACCCAGCGATGCACAGAGCTTATTCCAGGCTTTTGCACTTAGGAATTACTCCTGGCGGTGCTTGGGGGCCCATATGGGATGATGGGAATCAAACCTGCTATACTATCACCCCAACCCCTGTAATATGTTCTATTTTTTTTTTTTGGCTTTTTGGGTCACACCTGGTGATGCTCAGGGGTTACTCCTGGCTTTGCACTCAGGAATCACTCCTGGCAGTGCTCAGGGGACCATATGGGATGCTAGGAATCAAACCCGGGTCGGCCGCGTGCAAGGCAAAAGCCATACCAGCTGTGCTATCCCTCCAGTCCCCTCTAATATGCTCTTTAGTGTCACTTGTGTTAAAGAATTTAAAGCCCAAATAAAATAATTGAAAAAAAAAAACGAATTTAAAGCCCAAATTTCTAGCTCCAGTTCAATTTTCTTTTTATTAAAGTGCGTCAATAGATAAATAATGTAATTAACAGTCAACACAATCTTCACTGAAATATTAATAAATAAAAATCCCCTATTTAATAGATCACTCAAATAATGTTCTTTTAGGTAGTAATAGTAATCACCACTGGAAGTTAATCTAAATATATTCCTGACCACACACATGAATTCGCATTAGAATCTCAAGTTAGGATATCCAACCCCGTAATGAGGGTTGTCTGTCAATACCTGAATGCCGGTCCCAATAAGTTAGTGGGAAATAAGTTGATTTAATTAGAATCTAATCACTTTTCTGTGGTGCCTTAGTTTCTCCAGCTGCACTGGAAATCAGTCTTGCTTTGGAAGAGTTGTATAAAATACAGCATAAAATGTTAAGTTCAGTAAATGTCCATGCTTCAAAAATCAACCATGTGTCTATTATAAAAGGTTACCTTATTTTTTTGTGTGTGTGTGGGGGCAGGGCACACCTAGCCACACTCAGAGGGTACTCCTGGCTTTGAACTCAGGAATCACTCCTGGCATGTTTGGGGTACTGTGTGGGATTCTGGGATCGAACCCGGTTGGGCTTCATGCAAGGCAAGCATCCCACCCACTGTACTATTGGTCTGGCCCTAGCTTATTTATTCTTAACACAAATGAACTAAATGCCTTTAAAATAAATATACTGATGATTACTCTTTTTTTGAAAATTATTTTTTCACTTAAATTATATTAAAATCATCGATAATAGGGCTATAGAAGACAAGTCCCATAAATTATTTTGATTGCAACAAAGACTGCTGTCCTACACAGGTAAAATTTATAAATTGTTTTAAGGAAGTTTCATTCATTATATACTTTTTCTTTTTGGCCCACTCTAATCACTCTATGTGGTGGTTTAGGGTCCATGCAGTACTGGGGATTGAACCCAGGATTTCCACATGCAAAGCATGCACTTCAGCCCTGTGAACCATTTCCCTGGTCATTTTTCATGACCTTTCTATGAAATTACAAATCTTGCTGTCATAAATCATAGAGGTAAAAATCTAAGTTTACATAGTCTTGGTAGCATTCCTTTTGATAGTGTTGGTAATTCTTATGATTTCCAAATGAGGCTATGGTTGGTGCAGAATAGTGAAAATAAGTGTGCAAATAAATCAATTCTGATCAGTCCTCCTGATTAAAGAGGGTTAGTGATCTCATAAAAAAGATTCAGTAGTGTCTATGTTGGCAGCTTGTGGAGGGGGTATATAAGGTAAAAAAAAAAGCTTAAAGACACTGAGACATAATTGTAGGAGCACTGAAAAGAAACAAATGATGGTGTATGAGCCAGAGATTTTTTCTAAAAATCTTGTTTTTGATGGTAAGTATGCTGTAAAAACATTTTAAAAGGCTGGTACACCAAGTCTTCTATTTTCAAAGAAATATGCAACACTTTTAGGTAGAAACAGTATTGCTAAATCTCCACATGAAGCCACTAGTAATGAAAAGGAAAAAAAGATCATTAATCAACATAGAAGAAGAAAAATGGCAAGCAGTGATGCTCTTGCTGTTCTATTCAATTAAAAAATAAATCGATCATAAGCACAAATGGACATGCCATCTCAATAAGTAAAACCTCCTGTGGCTAACTTGTCATTTACAAGAGGAATTGGATGAAAAGGATAATTTTCTGCAGTGTGCTCAGTCATTTTAAGACTGAAATAGTCTCAGAAAAACATGAAACATCCTTAGAGGAGGGCTGTTACCTATTTGTTGTGGCAGAGTGCTCCATGCCCTAAACAGAGTGCACAAGGAAATAATGATCACGGAGAACATATATCTCTGAGGGACTAAAGAAAAACCACTCTACACAGTATTTCTTTCTACCACATGCAGTATTTTGGTAACAGCAAATCACTGCCTTCACAACGAAGGTGCAGGTGCTCTAAAATCATTGGAGAGCAAACATTTTTAGAAAGAGGTTTAGAAATTAGAAATGCAATTTCAAAGTTGGCTTGCCAAACCTCTGTAAAGTCCTAGGGATCTAGAGAGAGCAAGAAGAAAATGTTCTCAGTATTTCATGATCTGAGTGAGAAGAAGATCAAATATCATAATAAACTTCTTCTCACTCAGGGTCAGCAAAGGCTAGACAGGTTCTATGCAAGACTAAAGCAGGGAGTGGTCCCACCAGAGAGCCTGCACATGACTGATCCAGCAGATTTCCAAGGACAACTAAGCACCCAGCTAACCCTAGGACAAGTTGTTTGACTCTTTCTGGCAATATATCTCCAGGTCCAACACTCCCGAGAATGGGCCTGATTCATACTGTATGGCTGGAAACAAAAGCATCAGCACCGTTTATTAGTGCTAACATCCATCTATCAGATGTTGTGTTAATAAGAGATCAATGACTCTGGAGCAGCTCCTCCCAGCAGATGGGTTGAGAAAACACCTCTCTCTCCAACCAGAGCTCATAGGAATAGTGGAAATCCTCAGGCAGATCCAGCCTCTGTCCCAGGACACTCTGCAAGCAGTTGTCCACAGGTGAAAATTCAGAGTCCTGGGGTCGGTCATACCGGCGGCTATTAAAAGCCTCAATGTTAGCTCGCAGGGTGCATTCTTCTGCTTGGAAGTCCCATGGCCTGGCATCAATGTCTGTGTTAAGCAGAGAGGAAGAAAAAGAAGGACACAATTCAGGGTATTGGACTTCTTACTACACAGCGTTCTTGTAAGATGTAAACTACACGGTAGACAACACACTGCCACTAAGGTTTTAAAAATGAACATATGCCTACATACATATGCTTGCATCTGCAGAATGTCTTTGGAATGGTAATCAGAAACAGGTGAAGTGATTACCTCTGAGAAGGAAAGAAGGAAGCTGAGGGAGGTGGACTTTTTATTGTTTTTTCTTTTCAATTATTTCACTTCCTTACTAGTTATATTTTCCAAAAGGGCAACCAAATTCCCTTTATTGAGCCTTTCCCCCCTAATGTACGAATTTCCTGTTTGAATGCAATCATCAGCTCTAAGGGAAAGAAATAAGAAGGAACAACAAGAAAAATCAGAGTGAGTCAATTCCCCAACACAATAAATCAACACGTCGACCTATGTTAGATTATGAGTTGAGGACTTCTGGAGAAGCTGCAAACAGATCATTTGTTTATAATGTCCCACACAGAGGCTAGTTTCAGGTCTAGAAACACATCTTTCTCATATCTCTGATGTCCCACATTCAATGGTGTCTTTTTTTTTCTTTTTGGGCCACACCTGGCGATGCACAGGGGTTACTCCTGGCTCTGCACTCAGGAGTTACTTCTGGCGGTGCTCAGGGGACCATATGGGATGCTGGGAATTGAACCCGGGTTGGCTGCGTGCAAGGCAAATGCCCTACCCGCTGTGCTATCTCTCCAGCCCCCTCAATGGTGTCTTTTAAGAAACTGGCATTTGGGTTTGGACTACTGATAGCTGCAATAACAAATGTGACATTTGCAGAATAAAGCATTTTCCTGTTGGAGCCAGGATTATTTCTTTTTTGTTTTGTTTTGGGGTCACACTAGCAATGCTCAGGAGTTACTCCTGGCTCTGCATGCAGCAATCACTGCAGGCAGTACTTTGGGGGACTATATGGGATGCAGGGATTGAACCCAGGTCAGCTGTATACAAGGTTAGTGTTCTACCTGCTATACTATTGCTCCTGCCCCCCATGAATGATCCGGGCATGTGCTGGGCATGTCTGGGATCCTGGCTAGATCCCCAGCATCATGTGACTTCTGGGTCATCCCAGAGGATGTAGTGCTGCTTTCAGGCCCTGCAGCGCTGGGGGTTACTTGGGCCATCCTGGCAGTGCTCAAGGTCTCCAAGGCCCTGAGATGCTTGAGGAATAATGTCATGCTGGAAATTGAACCAGGGTCAGCTGCACTCAATGAAACTATCTAAACCCCTATACTATCTCTCTGACCCCTCTCTGAAATCTTATTGCAGCATTCTCTGATATTTAAGCAGGTTAAAATCCCAACAAAAACAAAGCAGAAGTCATTTTTCCAGTTTTCTTAAATGCAACTGTGTAAATAATGGTCCAATCCTACTATAGCAATTGTCAGTACAATGAAAACGCCCTCCAAAATAACTTCGTTCAAACTCTGGTCAATCTTACCTTAAGTCATGCTAAATCAACCAGATATGATGTCTCATAGTGCGAGGTACTATGCACTTTCTTTTTATCATTTGTTTTGGGGCCGTACCTGGCAGTGCTCAGGACTTACTCCTTGCTCTGCACACAGGGATCACCCCTGGCACGGCTTGGGGGATGGTATTGTGGGGACTAAACAGGGATTGACTGCATGTAAGTACCCTCTGTACTATCACTCTGGTCCCACTGTGCAATTTCTGACATTATCTAGAATATACCACATTCAAAAAAGGTTCCATTTAATTCCTCAAACTTTTAGACCTTCCAGTTTACAACTGATCCAGTTCTTCAATTATTGTTAAGGGCTGGTGCGAGGGGGATTCAATTAGTGTTAAGCGCTGGGTGAGGGGAGGAGAAAGTTGTGCTAGATTCAAAATGAATAAAAGAATGTAACAACCAGATGCAATTTGTGATCCTGGATTGAATTATAACGTAAAAAAAAAAAAAGCTTTAAAGACTGTTTTGGGGCAACCGGGAAAGTCTGAATGTGGATTTGATTATTAGAAAAATGAAAACATGTTGACATGGAAAGGTGGATAATATTAACCAAAAAGAGAAGATTATAGAATAGCATGTAGAATTCACTTTCATTTAAATAAAATCTCTCTATGGATGTATATGTAGCAAAAAAGATATGGAAGAAGAGGGGCTAGAGTGATAGCTCAGTGAGGTTCAGGTTTGATCCCTGGCACTACATATGATGCCCCTTAACACTACCAGGAGAGACCCCTAAACACAGCAAGGAGCAGCCCCTGAGAACTCATAGGAGTGGCCCCAAAACAAAGAAAAATATTTGTAAGAATATACATATCAGTGGCTATCTTTGAATAGTATAAATATGTAATATATATACATATAAATATATTATATATATATATTTGCTTTTTGGGTCACACCCAGTGATGCTTAGGGGTTACTCCTGGCTCTGCACTCAAGAATTACTCCTGGCGGTGCTTGGGGGACCATATGAGATGCCGGGGATTGAACCTGGGTTGGCCACATACAAGGTAAACGCCTTATCTGCTGTACTATCGTTCCAGCCCCCTGTAATATATTATTTTCTTTCTTTCTTTCTTTCTTTCTTTCTTTCTTTCTTTCTTTCTTTCTTTCTTTCTTTCTTTCTCCTTCCTTCCTTCCTTCCTTCCTTCCTTCCTTCCTTCCTTCCTTCCTTCCTTCCTTCCTTTCTTTCTTTCTTTTGCTTTTTGGATCACACTCAGCGATGCACAGGGTTACTCCTGGCTCTGCACTCAGGAATTACTCCTGGTGGTGCTTGGGGGACCATATGGGATGCTGAGAATAGAACCCGGGTCGGCCGCGTGCAAGACAAGCGCCCTACCCACTGTGCTATCACTCCAGCCCCTGTAATATATTATTTTCTAAGAACTTCTAACAACAAAAGGTTGTTCTCATTTTTTTTTTTTTGCGCTTTTTGGGTCATACCTGGCGATGCACAGGGGTTACTCCTGTCTCTGCACTCAGGAATTATCCCTGGCGGTGCTCAGGGGACCATATGGGATGCTGGGAATCGAACCCGGGTGGGCCGCGTGCAAGGCAGACGCCCTACCCGCTGTGCTATTGCTCCAGCCCCAGTTCTCATTTTTTAATTATAAAAAAAAAGGGCTGGAGAGATAGTACAGCGCGTAGGGCGTTTGCATTTCATATGATCAACCAGGGTTTGATCCCTGGCCTCCCATATGGTTCTCTGAGCACTACCAGGAGTAATTCCTGAGTGCAGAACTAGGAGTAATCTCTAAGCATTGCTGGGTGGGATTCCAAAAGCCAATACTAAGTAAATTTTAAAAAGATTTCCTCTTGGCAAGCCTGTGTTTTCCCTTGAACATGTATCTCTCTTTCTGATTTTGTCCCCTCTGGAGAAGGTGGTGTTCTCTCTTTTTCTCCCCTAGTGTCTTTGTAAGTAAAAGTATCTCGTTTCAATAATAAACAAAATTTAAAAAAATTTTGTCTTATTATTTTTTTGGTTTTTCTTTTTGGACCATAACCAGCAGTGTTCAGGGCTTACTCCTGCCTCTGCATGCAGGGATCACTTCTGGCAGGCCTGGGGGACCATATGGGATGCCAGAGAACAAACCTTGGTTGACCACATACTAGGCAAGCATCCTACTTGCTGTACTATCTCTTCAGCCCCCCAAAAGTACATTTTAAAAGATTATTTTAACTGCAAAATCTCTTAGAGAGGAACTGGGGAGATAGTATAATGATGATGCAAAGTATGTGCAAGGCCCTAGACTCTGGGACTATCTCCCCCTTTCTTTACCATTGAATGTGGCCCTGGTGGTTTCCAGCACAGCTGTGTGGGACACCGGATATGGCCCAGGTGGCATCATTGCTCCAGGCACTGCTGGTCATGCCAGGTGGGGCTCTGCTGGGAGATAACCTTGGCCCCCCAAGTACTGTCAGGTATGACTGCTATATATTAAAAAAGAAATGGGAGAGGCCTGCTATTGAAATAAAATGCTTTAGGAAGGGACCATTACTCTTCAACTTACTCATTTAGTAAGATGAATTTTCATGGTTTACATACAACAGAGAACATGTAGGAATTTGAATGCCTTCAAGTTTGTTATACTAGCTATAACATCAGATAACTGACCATTAGTCACCTATTTTCTCATCCAAAATATGGAGCAACTCATAGCAAAAGAATAGAGTGAAATGTTGATTTAGATTTGCTTATAACACCTGAGAGTTGTGCTCTGAGAACACTCACCATTCCCATAAGCCCAGTCATCGTTCATGCGGTGCCGCACTTTCTGATAAATAGCTGACATGGTTTTCATGTTGCTTTTCCGCCACTGGCGCCCCAGGTACTTGGTCTGTATCTTTAGCAGCTTCAGGATATAAAGTTGCAGCATGGCCTGCTTGACCTTCAGAGCCCGTTTTAAGATGGGAGCCGATTTAAACACCACTAGCATCTGTCCATGAAAGATACACGGGAAGAGAGGGAGATGAATGAGGATTCAAGTTTCTTTTCTTTTTTCTATCTTTTTTGATTTCTGGACCACACTTAGGAATGTTCAGGGGTTACTCCTGGCGTATGCTCGGAGGACCATTTGGGATGCTGAGAATTGAACCCAGGTCGGCTGTGTGCAAGGCAAGTGTCTTACTCGCTCTACTATCTCTCAGGCCCCAGTTTCTTGGAATTTCTAACTCACAAGTGAAACCAAATTTGGCACATCTCATAGTCCCTGTGGACTTTTGGGGACTCCTGGTTCAGGGCCTACTTAGATTCAGTCAGTTACAGAGAGGAATCATTCAATTTATATTTCACTTTTCAAAGTGTATGATCCAAAGTGCAAAAGAATTTTGTTTTGGGGTCACACCTGGGGTGCACGGGAACAACTGCTGACTTGGTGCTTGGGGACCATTCCTGGTGGTGCCAGGGGCTGAACCAGGGATCCCATAAGCAAAGCATGTGCTCCAGCCCTTTAAGCCATCTCTTTTACAATGCCTCCCCCCTCCCCCAACACACATATCCATCTTCCAAAAAGAAATGGCCTGGTGACAAGAAATAATCTCATGCAAAGTTTAAGTGCTCAGAATTATAAAATGCTAAACTTTATGGAACATTCATCATTTCCATAGAGAACTCTCAAAAAAGGAGATCCACAAATACCTACTAACATTTTTTTTTAATCTGGTAAGGGGGCCAGAGCGATAGATAGTACAGCAGATAAGATGCTTGTCTTGCATGTGACTGACCTGGGTTCTATCCCCAGCATCACATATTGGTCTCCTGAGCATCACCAGGAGTGATCCAGAGTGCAGAGCCAGGATTAAGTCCTGAGCACTGTCAGTGTGGCTCCCAAATGAGAAACAAATAAAATTCAGTAAGGGATGGAGGGATAGTATAGGAGTTAAAGCATTTGTCTTGCAACCTGCTGGCTCCTATTTGAATCCCCAGCACCACATATAGACTCCAGAGCACAGCAAGGGTCACTCCTGAGCGCAGAGCTAGCCAGGAGTAGCCCCCAAGGATTTCTGGGTATGGCGCCCAAGCCCAAATAGTAAATACATATATAAATGCATAGATAAATAATTCTGTTGGATGCACACTTTCATGGTCTGAGTGCCCACTTACCATGGTTCTGGAATGCTTCCATTTGGTCAGTTTGTTAAGCAGCCTTAGAAGGTTGATGCAGGAGAAGAGGTTCCTCCAGCAGAATTGGGTGTTATCTCCAGACTCCTATAACAAGGTATATCCATCAAGATCTTATTTCTGGGGAAGACTTGGGGAATGGTTGGGAAAATGGGGACAATGGTGGAGGGAGGGTCACTCAGGTGATGGTATTGGTGCTGGAACATCAAAACCTTTTAACAACTGTAGTATGAACAACCTTGTAAACCATGGTGTTTAAATAAAGTGAAAGTAAAAATAATTTTTTAAAAGATCTCATTCCTTCAGAAGCCTAGCAGTCCCTGCTGCTCAGGATAGGTGTTGTCTTTCATATGAAATGCCCTCACCCTCCTACTCTCCACACATGCAGGCCTCAAAGCACACATCTTTTATCTGAAAACACAGCTGCCAATTTGATCACACTTACAGCAATTACTTAGACCACATATGCACACCAACATTTCATTCAATAAAGCTTTTGTGTGTATTTTTCTGCCTCAAAATCAGAAAGGAGTGGATAAAATCCACCCCATATATTTTATACTTATAAAAGCTATGTTTGTAACTCCTGGTGGGGCTCAGGGGATCAAATGGAGTGCCAGGGATCGAACCCAGGTTGGCTACATTCAGGATAAGTACCCTACTCTTAAGAAAGGTAAGTATTATCTCTCTGGCCCCATTCCTAGGAGTTATTCTGATATTTCAAAATACGTTTAAGAGATCTGATATTCATTATGGTTGATTTTATTTTTAAGCCACCCCCTAGCCTTTAGGATGCAATAAGATGCTTAATTCTTTGGTACAAAAGAAAAATGGCAGAGTTAATCCTAACCAGGTGTTTCTCTTGCTTCTCTTGCATGTTCTCCCCTCCCCTCTTCTCCCCACCCCTCCCTTTCCCTTCCCTTTTCATTTTTGCTGGGGGGCCATACTCAGTGGTGCTCAGGGCTTACTCCTGACTCTGAGCTCAGGGATTACTGGAAGGCTGGGGGCACTATATGTGATGCTGGGGATGGAATCCCAGTCAGTCACGTAAAAGACAAACGCCTTACTCACTATATTATCTCTCCAGCCCCTCTTGAATGGTTCTTGATAGCTTCTGGGCACCCAATCATAGAATACAGATAGATATTAGATTACAAACAGATATTTACTCACAGAAACATTTTTTTCAGGGCCAAAAGAGGAGTCCTTATAGATTTGGAGATATAATATAACTTATATAAAATATAAACTTATCCAAAACTACATAAATCAATGAGCACACATAGTGGCCAAACTAACATCTTGGAAGCTCATATCTATAACGTGATAGCAGAATATAGGAGGAAGAGACATGTCTAGAAGTGAGTTGCTATCTGGTGATTGGAATATTGTCTCCACCACATCCCCAAATTAATTTGAAGTAAACAAGAAAGTCATAGATCTAATGGGAAATAAATATTCAAAATTTGAGCAGGGGCGTGTTGAGGTGACACCCAGTCATGTTCAGGGTTCACTCCTGGCTCTGTGCTCAGGCTCAGTCCTGACAATGCTCAGGGGACCATATGCCATGCCAGGGACAAAAAGAGGGTCAGCCACATGGAAGGCAAGTGCTTTAATCCCTGTACTATCTCTCTGGCCCTATTTTGCAAGTGTTTTGATAGTATGAAGCTTTCCTAAGAAATTAAATCTTAGGTCAAAATTTCAGGGAAATTTTTTAGAAATTTTTTTTTAGAAATTATATTTTTTTTTCCTGTAGTAAGTGTTCAATATTGTGTTTAGACCTAGTCTCAGGAGAGCCATCTGTTTCTCAGGGAAACTTCCACGGGAGTTTCCACTGCAGGGCTCAGCCAGTCTGGCCTGCCCAAAACAGATCAGGTTCCGTACATATCACATCTTATATGGCTAAGAGGATGTATGTGTTTACTCTTTTCAAGAAGCAAGAGAAACACAAAACATAAGGAATGGCTTAGTATATTTCCACTGTGAGGTTCCTTTGCCTGGTTTCGAATATGAAAGAAGCACAAAAAGCTTTGAATTCCTGAGTACTTCCAAGAAAAATATGGGACTGCAGAAGCAGCATTGGAGCAGGCATCCCTGGTTTCCCGTAAGAGCCTAAACTAGACCATTTGTAAAATTCGTTTAGCTCTGACCATTCAGTAATTCTTGATACTTTCTCCATTTGATTTAAAGTGACGCTCTGAGAATGAATAAACTTTTTGTGACTGCTTTTCCCTCAGAGCTCACTCTTAAGAGTCCCAGAAAAGATGCCATTGTTCCTTCCTAACGGTGGTCTCATGTGTACAGGACCACACTCTCCTTTCTCTCTGACTTCACTGCCCTAGATGATTGCAGCCAGCCCCACCCTGCCACCTCCAGTTCCCCAGATGCTATCTGAGGTGCTGCTGGAAGCACAAACACTGAGTCTGCAGCCCTGAAGACTGTGTGGAACCCTGCTCAAGCCTTCTGCCTTATTCCAACCCAAAAGGTCATCAAGTTCCCATGGGGCCTTTTCAGTTTTGCCAAACCTGAGGGTTTATTTGTTTTTGTTCATTTAAGATAGGTCATTTCTTTCTGTCTTTGGGGTGTGGGGGCAGAATGTCTGTCACCTTTGGGATCACTTCTTTTTGTCATTTTGGGGAAAGAAAGTACAGTGTGTCTTCCTCTTTCACTTTAAAAAAGCAGATTGGATAGAAGCTGAGGCAAGACTCAGCCTTTAAGAGATTTTTGTGTGTGTGTGTGTGAACATCAGCAACTGGTCACATTCTCTTGTTTCAGGTACTTCATGCTCATCAAAGAATTTTTGTATCAAGTTTTGTATCAATTAAGTTAGAAAAAGGAGGGTCAGAACCTGGAGAGACAGTACAGAGGCAAGACCCAGTTTGATCCCCTGTACCACAGATGTCCCTTGAGCACTGTCGGGAGTGATCTGTGAGCAACGAATCAGGAGTAAGCCCTGAGCACAGCTGGGTGTGGGCCAAACCTCTCTCACCCACGACCCTCCAAAAGAATGGCTAGATAGATAGCTCAGTGGGCTGGAATCAGTGCTTTGAAAGCATTGCGTGGTTCCCAAGCACTGCTGCAGGAATACTAAACAAGGAGAAGCCCCTGAGTACTACTGGCGGTGCCCCCCTTGCCTAAAATAAAGAAACAAACCCAAAAGGTTTTAAAAAAAGAAAACGTTTGCCTATATTTTATGCTCACCCATAAACATTTGCTTCCTTATACCTCGAGTGTGTAGATTCAGTTCAGGGGCCACATCCTACTCTTTCTGAGCATCTCCAAGCACTACAAGGATTCTGTTCTCAAAGATCCATTCATAGCTCAGCAGAGTGAGCCAAGCTAAATAAAAACCCCAGGCTTATGCCAATTATGTGGATAATTAACTCAGATGGTTGTGGAAAGAACAGAGTGTTTTTTCCTTTTCGACAGAAGAAAGCAGATTGGTTAAAAGCTGAGCACGAGAAGAGACTTAGCTGTTCTGGTCCAATTATTCATATACAGAAGCAAATATTGAGGCCCAGAAAGGGAAGGGGCTTGCTCAAGTTCACATGACAAATGCCCTACTCAGGGTTTGACCCTAGCTCCCTAGTCCTCAATGAATCCTAAGACTCTCTAGGAATACTTCTGAAATCCTAGATACAGTAGATGATTTTCTGAAACAAAATTTGAATCCTCTAATTTCTTGACTCCTTGAAAACCCAATGGTAGAGAAGCTTTTTCATATGTCCTACTATAATTCTTACTTCAAACAAATGGAACATAGCAGATTCCAGGAGAAACAGGAACAAAAATAATCTAGTTTTTTGCTCTAAAGGGGGACATCTGGGGCTAGAGAAATAGTACAGGAGGTACGATCCTTCTCATGTATGTGTATGATCTTGGTTTGAATTCCTGATACCACACATAGTCCCCACTGAGTGCTACCAGGGGTCGCTCCTGAGCACAGAGCCAGGAATAATCCCTGAACATTGCTGAGTATGGCCCAAACACCCCAAATAAATAAAGAAGGGTATCTCATTGAGTTTGATCATACTATAATCAAATTGAGTTTAGAAACTACTGCTAACCTGGGAAATAGCTCCAAAGATTAGTGAGTATGCTTTGCATGTAGAAAGCCTGGGTATAATTCCTGGAATTTTATGATTTCCCCTAGACATCAACAGCTGTGGCACCCCAAAAGGAAAAAAAATGCTATAGAGGCTGGAGCATTATTACAGCGGGTAGGGCGTTTGCCTTCCACGCAGCTGACTGGGGTTTGATTCCCAGCATCCCATATGGTTCCCTAAGCACCGCCAGGATTAATTTCTGGTGTGATTCAAAAAACCAAAACAAAAAAGTGCTATAAACTGATAAGCCTAGTACATCTCAAATAGTACTTTGGTATAAGTCTAGTTTATCTTCAAAATCTCTAATTGACAATTCTTCTTATTTTTTTCTTTTTGGGTCATACCCGGAGATGCACAGGGCTTACTCCTGGCTCATGCGCTCAGGAATTACCACTGGCGGTGCTCAGAGGACCATATGGGATGCTGGGAATTGAACCTGGGTCGGCTGCATGCAAGGCAAACACCCTACCTGCTGTGCTATCGCTCCAGTCCCAACAATTCTTATTTTTAATCACAAATCAACTACTCACTGAGAAACTGAAATGGTTAACACTTATGTGGTTGTTTTGTAATTAATACAAGAGAACTTTATAATCCAAGAAAAGCTGGTGCTCATCTAATGATTCCACCTCTCTTTTTCTACACGGCACTACTAGAGCCTCAGGGAAACTGCTCAAGACCAGATAATAGGGGCAAAGCCAGATCTTAGTACAAACAAATGCATTTCTGGGCTATAAGTCCCTCATGCCACATCAGTCTTGGTTTTTTCTTTTTTAAAAAAAACCAATTCACAAAAAAATGTATCCTGGGTTTTAATGCTTCTGATTGCAAATTTGGGGCTGGAGAGGCAGTACCGGGATTAGGGTGCTTGCCTTGTATATAGCTGACCTGGGTTTTATCCTTAGCCCTGCCAGGAGTGATCCCTGGGCACAACAAGGAGTAAGCCCTGAGTATAGCCGGTATGGTCCAAAAACCAACCAA